AATTAGGTTCAACATCATTGCCTGCAATTACATTCCACATTTGCATTAGATTTTCTTTCAATTATTGCTTTGTGAAGATAAAGGAGGGCCAAGTAGAAGAAAAGAAAAAAGGTGGTTGTGATATGAATAGTTATTATGTAACTACGTATTTCCACAGTATAAACAAAACTAACTTCAATGCTCATATCAAATAATGTATTCTATCCAACTTGATGATGGAGGCAGCCTGGAAAGCAGTCCCCACAGGGCCATAACTGTGCAATTAGAACCAAGAGTTCAAACTGAGAGTTTAATTCCTTTCGAAGGGGCTGTTTAAATTAAGAGAACTACTTGGTCGACATTACAAAGTGGTTTCCCTTTCTCTCTGACTGTATTCATTGTATTAGTATACGACACAGTTCATAGAAAAATATCATTATCAACATAGATGGAGTTGTCTGCTGAACAGTTCTTAGAAGGCATATTTTGTATGATACACATTGCTAGACACAATCTACCCTCTGGACAGATTTATGCACTAAACACGATATACACGAAGAGTTTAACTGTGGAAATTTTTTGCATACCTCATGTTGTTGCTTCAAGGAGAAGTCTAGCAAAAGAGACCTGGAAAGCTTATTCCGAAGCAATAGCTTATCACCAGTGCACGAATTAAAAATGAATGCTGAAAGGTGATGGAGAACCAGTGTATATGCAAGTGATCCTCGACTTGCAGCTCTGTCGAGGGCACCAGAAGTCCACGACTTCGCATAAGCCTCCAAAATACCAAAATTATCCTGCACAAGCACCAGATTTGATACATTTTCATCACCTTGCAGTAAAAAGACCATTTATTTTAAATTGCATTATTACAATCTCTCTCACACAAACATGCACACACCCACACAATCTCTCAAAACTAAATTATAGATACTCGAAGCTCATATTGATACAAACAAGTCAATGACTAGTCAGCAGTACCTCAACAGGTTCGAGGTAACCCTCGGCATCAGTAAAGCAATTCTCTAAAGGTGGCAGAAGTTCAAGAACACGAGAATTAGTTAGTGTATTCCAGGTAGCAAGGCGCACAGGAGCTTCCACATAACGGTGAAGATAAACTGCAACTTGCCGGCTATAAACCAAATCACCATAAGATATAGCAGAAAACTGCTCCACAAGAGTTTCAATGAATGTTGAGTAAGTCTCGTGAATCTCCGATTGGAATGCCAGAAACTCCGGGTTGTTTTCATTTCTAGGTTCTGTCAATAAGTTGCACGACGTTGCCTGATGAAGAAAATTCCCATAGAGATCTTGCAAAGCTTCATAAACAGCTCTACTCCTCTCATCCTCAATGACACCCATTCCAACGAGTAAGATCATAGATAGAGAATGCAATTTCCAAACTAACGATACACTTTTAACTGGGGATGGGATGTCATCTGGTAAGAAACTGGACAGTGCTTCAATACCCAAAAGGAAGAAAAGCCCAGCTTGGGAAACTACAAGGAAATCACCTGGATCCTGAATGAGATCTTGTAAATTGGAAGATTTTTTAAGACCAGCCTGCTTGCTATCACAAAGGGTTGAAATTGGACTGAGAAACCAGGAAATGGGTAGTGGCAGCCTCTGGTGAGCCCACTCTATAACTAAAGAAGTGCAATCTTGACTGATCATATGTGATGTGTCCAAGTCCTCATATATGGTGTCAAGGGAACCTTTACCATTCTTCAGTGGTTTACTGCCAGATAAATTATTGCCATCACTATCTTTGAGCTTTTTCTTTACAGATAACCATCTGTTATTGAAATGGGAAGCTAATGTTTTACTGAAGAGCAGGTAATCCTCTTCCTTGTACTCCCAATCAAACACTTTAAATCCCTTATTCGAGAAAAGAAAACGCCTAATACAGAGATCAAGATACTTCAGAACTGAGACATCAAGCAAAATATTTATTGCCTTTTTCACAAAAGTCCCATCTGTAGGTCCTGCAGTTACACATACTCCTAGAGATGAATTAATTGCCAGCATAGTCAAAGTCATTTCTTCTTCGGTGGGGATATCAAAATTGGACACAATCTTCCAAATTTCAAGTAGGTCAACGAGAAATCTTGAATCAGCTTGAGACAACAAAAAAGTAGCAGACCAAAATCCTCCACCAGAGGCACCCCAGCCAACTCCCGCTCCAGGAGCAGGACCACCCCTGCCAAACATCTCAATGGACTGCACAAGGTGCCAGTCTGAAGCAACTAACTTCATAAAAGTATTTTGCACACTTCTCAATTCAACCAAACAGCCCCCAAGTATACCATCCTTGAGGATTTTCTCTTCTCTTGTTGAAGTGTAATTTTGGGAAGGAGTTTGGACGCCTGTCCTGGCTAACATTATCAATTTATCAATGCTAATGATAATCCCCACTAACCCCTGTAAGCAACATACAGAAGCTAATGATGTTTCACATGTACCCTGACTTCTCAAATGACAAAGTTTCTCAATGAAAGAGCCACTTCCATTAGGATCTTTTCCATATTTTGCATCATTAGTATCTGAAAGGTCCATAAACCCATTTTTAATAATTTCAAGTCCAACTTTAGGAACAAACTCTGGAAGCCATGGCACAAGACTACCACTTTCATGCGAGTGGACAGTATCATCTGGGATCACTTTTTCAAGCACTCTGGAAAGCATGTGCATGACAGCTGAATACACCCATAACAAGGAAGTCACTGATAAATCTTGGGACACAAAAAGAACATCAACTCCATTTTCGCTCTTAAATAAATTACATATGCTAGGATCACTCTTCATAACTATCCACTTCAAAGCTATATCAACCATTGGACCAACATGGCTCCAAGACCAGAACTCGGTGTCATCACCAGAATACTCAGAGATTTGATTGCTCAGATTCTTCTGTGAGAACAAACTTGGAAGCCTTCTAGCCAAAGCCTCCAGCACAAGGTAGCCCTCCGTAGTGATGGATGCAAATTCACTAAGTACATCATTCTCTATAAGCCTTTCAATTATAGGTGGGTTCAGCCATATGCACAAGTTGGGGAAAATATCTGAGAAGTATGACACACAATGCCCATGCTGAATGCAAACCTTCCAAAAACGCAGCTGTTCAACCATCAAAGCCGAAGAAAGTTGACAGTTTTCCTTTCCAGATTTTACCCATTTGTCAAGGAAGGAAATAGATTGATACAAATGCCATGTCATAGTTTGGAAACTCCCATTCTTTATAAAATCAACACAATTCCTCCCATCAGATTGAGCCAACACCTTTTATATACACAAAATTAGGGATATAAGTATTAATTTTATCTCGAATTAAATGCAGGTACAATTCCCAACTAATAGTACTAGGAACAAAACCTATAAGACAACTGGAAATAAAAGTACATAAACTGCCTACCTTTAGAAGTCTAACAGACTTTATTTTAGAAGGCTGGATTTCTACACTCTCATTTGCAATAAATCTGCTGACAACTGTTTGGATTAGCCTTTGACAATTCATGACTGCATTTGCACATTTTGGGGAATGCCTTGCAATAGCTATAAGTAAAGAAATGATGTATTCTTCCAAAGCCGCTGTAGGGTCTGACTGAAACCACACAAAACAATACACTTTAAGAGGAAACTGAAGATCATCTTTCCACAAGTTCTTAAAAGGTCCTTTAATCAACAACTTTTCTAGCAGTATCTTACTATATATATAACACTACTAATTCGTAAATCCATGTTTGCTCTGTTCTGTAAAAAGAAAATAAAGGACTAACCTCCAAAAGATAACGAAGCCTTGGAAGGATTCCCATCCGCACCAAACCTGCAGCAAAATCTTGTCCGGCAACCACAACATCATCCTGAATTGTACGTTTCCCTTCAGTCTCATCATCAATAATTTCCTCATCAAGAGCAAGAATATTAGAAGGCTTAGCATTGTACTTCCAGAATCCACCACGAAGGAAACCAACAGCAATCTCTGGTTTACTTCTAAATACAGCGGCAGTAAATGTATCCTTATGACGAGTTGCTATTTTCTGAGAGCAGAATACATCACACTTGAAGTAATTAAATACTGATAGATAATTTAAAAAACAAAGAAATATATAAGTATAATAGTAGGAAGAAAAGGAAAGAAAAACTCTACCTCTGAGATATCAAAGAAGTTCTCATTCACATCATAGCTCAATATGCAGTGAAGAACTTTGGCACAAGCTAGAACTACAGAACTATGGTTATCATCGAGACAAAGCCTACAATTCAGAGGTTAAATTGCAATATTATTAAGTCCAAAAAAAAAAAATCAAAGAATCAGAAAATGGTGAAGTATCTCCAAGTAAATAATTATATCCTCAGGTTAACTGTTATATTCTATCAAATACTACCATTGGTTGATGATAAATCTAAGTCATCCAATAATTTTTTGAGGGGCATATGGCTCTAGCTTGGATATATAAGCAGCAAACAGAGAGAACACACTTAACTTTTTCTCAAGGGGAATATGACGAGTTAACTATAACATGTAAAGATGAAAACTAGACTATCTTGCCTTTTATGATCCAACAAATGACCAGAAAATTTAGAATAACTCAGGTTGAATACATGTAATGAATTTTAAGAAACCATTAATCCGGGCAACAATATACCTCCTCGTTATCTAGGTCATGATAATAAAAGGTACAGAGGATAAATAATCATGTATTATTCTGACGGTACAAGTGTACCATGGCATCTGCGACACCACCTTAGGTTTCCACCTCTCGCAGCGCTCCGTATTCCTCATGGGATTGCCTAATTTCCGCAACCAAACAAATCCAGATCGCTGGCTGGTCAAGATCGAAGAAGACGTGCCTGGGAGAATGCATTTGCTGAACCCACTCTCGCGATTTCAACTGAAGCCTCTGCCTGAATCTTTCCCAAAGGTATTGGATTTATCCAAGTTTTGGGTTTATGAGTTGGGTGGAGAATATGTTCTTCACTATGTGCATTTTAGGCCCTTTGGTAATGGTAACTCTTTTGGTGATGCTGGCAATTTGTACATGGAAAAGGTGGTTTTTATGTGTTTGGGTTCCGAAAGCAATGATTTTGTGTTGCTTACCATTCATGTGTCTGGGAAATTAGCTATGTTTAAGTCTGAGGATAAGAGGTGGACTATAATTCATGATATGCCTTCGCCTTATGATGATGTTATACTGTTTAAAGGACAATTTTATGCCGTTGATGGCACCGGACGGACTGTGATCGTCGGTTTGCACTCAAATCTTAGTGTGGTTGCAAATCCTGTATTTGGTGGCGATAAGAAGTTCTTGGTTGAGTCAAGTGGTGAATTGTTGGTGGTTGATATGTATTTGAGCATGGCTGCAGAAAGCGATTTGGATGTTGATGATGAAATCATCGACCGTTGTCCTGGAATCTGAAACCACCAAACAGCATATGGTAAAACAAGATAACAGAAATCAGGAGGAAGAGCTACAAGATGTGATATACCAGAGACCCATGAACATAAGACACTATCCAAACCGTTATTTCACAACTACAGAAATCAAGAATATAAACTGACCACACTCCTAGTGAGTGACACTGCTTCTTTGATTGTATAGCCAGCAGCACCAGGATCCCCCTCAGTACGCAGGAAGTCACGCTCAGAAACATTACCTGTAACGTGGAAGAAATAATTAACTGAAAGCCTATTGAGGTATATGTTATATTTTTAAAAGTACCATAATTAATGCAGTTGCACTTCCCAGACAGCAAAAATTGCTGATAATATTAATTTCATTGTAAAAGAAAATTTAACTACAGAATTAAGTCCCAGGCTTTTAGAGAAAATAAAACAGTAAATATAGCAAAGACACAAGAGCGATATCCATAATGTCTTGTGAAATAGAACGAAAAGAAAAGGTTAGCTTCTGCCCAAAAATTATATAAACGAGTAAAATAACTTACTACTCTTAGGTATCTGGTGGAAACCATTTAAAATAACAGTCCCATCCAAGGAAAATCTTAATTCCCTAGCAGCCTCGACTCTCTCCCTCCAAGCAGTCCACAAACTTCCACTGGCTTGGCCTGAGTTCTGCTCCAACCCATTCTCTTCCGCAGTCTTTGTATGGTTTGAGGTAATTGTTGTGTCCGCATGAGACATGCCACTTTGAGAGCTAGGGGAAGCTTTTGGTTCATTGTTATCCGAACTGGGGCTTCTATGCTTCCTCAATTTCTCTTCACCCCTCCTTTTGAGCACATTGAGCAGCGCAGGGTCCAGCCTTCCCATGATCTCAACCTGTGCTTCAGCAATCTCATCCGCTGACATCCCTTGCAATCGAGCACGGTTCTCTTCATCAATCTGAGTCTCGAGCGACATGGACACTTGTTCATTTCGAACATTATCAGCAAGGGACTTTGGACTTGGGCCCGCTTGAATTTGCATGTCATTCTTACCCAACACAAATTCTTGTTCAGTCAAGTTGCCCAACACAGATTCTTGTTCAGTCTTCAAGTTGCCCAACACCAAGACATTCGTACTTAATTAGTGCATGGTGCTGTAGGCAGTATATTGTTCTGATGTATCCCCAATTTTCTAGATATCAGTTTTGCCTTTTAGGTTACTGACTATTTTTGTCGCAATAACTTATTCAGATTTTTTAAGAACTCTGGGCCTTGGCTTAAAGGCTTTGACAACATAATGTTGTACCATTGTTGGTTTAAATCCCTGATTTGAAACAATTAGACTAGCAGCTGATAGATATTGAAATCTCTAAGTTTGATTGCTGGTCCTCCTGATATGGCAGCCAAATAATTAGCAGGCTTTGATTGGATTGATTGTCGATTACAATAAGTGCTACTCTAGCTGGTATTCCTGCCATTTGAATTAGATTTTCATCGTCAGTATCCGAATCGATTTTAATCAACATAATCAAGGAATGCAAATGCTGATTTAGTGAATGCAACAGGTGCAAAGTCAGTTTGAAGAATTGGCTTTGTGAGATGGAGATGGATTGTGGAAAATCAGTGCACAACTTTGTAATAACCCGTTAATGCATTTGAAATCCAAGACGTTTCAAGTTTAAATCTTTTATATAGTAAAGTGCAAGGCAAAAGCACAGTTCACACCCTGCGGCTTTGGCATCAACAAGTTCAGGTGACCTAGCCAGCCTTTGCAACCAAATCAAGTGGATCAAAGTTGCCATAGACATGAGGCTCTTTATGAGCCAAGGATATTTTACTACTTTCTATAAGCACCTCAACTTGGAAGGGGAGTTGTTAAGAGGCAGCCAATTCCTTGTTAACTGAAAAATAAATAATAATAAAATGACAGTAAAACTTTTTTTATTTTCTTAAATTATGAAATATTGTTTGTACTATGTACTTTATTTGCTTGTAAATTACTGATTTATCAGTGCTTTTGGAAACACATCTATCTTGTTCTTTTGCTTCTTTTTTTTTTTTTTTTTTCCTTTCTTTATTGATTACTATGGAATATTATGATAGTTTTGGTCAGTAGAAATCTGGAGATGATAAATGGACCATATTTTAAAGACCCTTATTCATATCTTGACATGATTCTCTTTAATGCGAAGTTACTAATCAGTCCAGAACAATTGCTTGAACACTAGCTTGATGTTAATCTGGTGGCAGAGATCCAATCAAAAGTTGTGTCTACGGTACGGTAGCTAATTGGTAAAACGGGAAACTTAGAACCAGCATGAAATTAAATAGTCTTTTTTCGCTTCATCTACTACCTGATCAAAACTATGGACCAACCTATTTCTATTGCTAATAAAGACTATACAATATTAGATCTCGACAGCACCAAGGATGGATCCAAGGCTCTGCAACTTCTGTTGTTATATGGACCTACTTCAACTTAAAACTGAGCTAACATTTTTAAGTCAATCCCGCTCGGGAGCGTCCCCTGTTGTTCTTCTAGAGCTTAGGCTTCCAGCATATGACCACACCCTCTCAAAATCAGCTGCCAGTAATTTCTCTGTCTTCTCGTCTAGTGCCTCTTTTCGAATGCTGCGCTTTACACACAGAGGTGTCCTTCCTGGACTACCAACAACTGGACTGGAGGAACAGAAAGTCGGAGTTGCTAGTGGAGAGCCATAAGGAGTGTGTTGAATGGAGAAGGGGCTGGGCGACATCCTCTTCTGTATAGGAAGGCCACCCAAACCTCCCCTGCTGAAAATAGACATTGATTCTGCTGCAGCACATCGCTTAGTAGCATCATCAACGAAGAGGACATCATCTATCCTTGCCATTATGTTAAAGGCCAGACTCTCCATAACCCTCGAGTAGCTTTCCAGAATTGACTGCCCCACGTCCTGCAAAATTAACAAAAAAAATTCCTTCAGAATTATCTTCGGAAGATTTGTTGTTCTAAATATCCTATTACAGAAGATAACGCAGTAATCACAGGGTGCATCTGTCCTTCGGACAGTCTCAGACAAAAAATGATTGGATCAAATAACTCGTAATGTGGCACAACGAATTCAGACAGTCTCCAAGTTTACAAAACCAAGGAACTCAACAAATTTGATAAACCAGTGTATTCAAAGTAATAATAAAAGAAATTAATCTTAAGCAGTATGACATATTTCACAAATCCCAAGTTCAGGTGACCGTATTCTAATCTTAAGCAGTATGACATGTAGATAACATACAGTGAAATGTACCTTATTGTATTGTATTTTGTTCATATCTAGTGCAGTTTGTGGGAGGCCAGGGAAACGATGCCTTAGGCTGTGTAAGAGGGTCTCTGCTCGTTGGGCCAGAAAATGATTTTTTTCAGTATCAGAAACAAGTCCCTTGACCTTGCCACCCCAAGATGCACGTTTAACTTTCTTATGATTAATGTGTTTCTTCTGGTCTTTCTGCTTCCAAACATGCACAGCTGCCTCAATCCTATTGGCTATTTCTAGAGTTTGATGTTCTGATGACAAGTCCAGGCAATCAAGAAGATGCTCGGGTGAAAACTGGTCTGCAGTTATGTAACGATAAATGATATCACCCAGACAAGCTTTCCCACTCTGTCATGAAATGGAGAACAAATGGTGTCATAAGAAATTTAAAATCAACTAAATGAAAGTTGCATGTTGAACAATAATTCCTGAATATTTATTGATATTTAGCATCTATTTATGCTCTCATTACGAAAATAAATTAATAAATTGAATGGCACTGAAATATAAACTCACACTTGTATCACCTCCTAATTAGGAAAGGATATTAACACTCGCACAACATGATATTACTCTTAAATAGATGAGGGAATTACAAAATAGATGTTGCTAGTCGTAATATAGTTAGCATGTTTCGAATCATGAAAAGAGATGTAGAAACCCAAACCTTGGGCAATGACTCCATGTAAGCTCTCGGGATTTCCATCTCAGCAAGCACACTACTATTAATTGCCATGGCAGCCTTCAATATCTGGTTGCAGCAGTCCCTACACTGCTGCAACTTCTTTCGTGATTCACTGGACAACCCATTTGGCGGAACTTTTGGATAGGGTAGCCACCACTTCTCTTCCTGCCTAATCGAAGGCCTTCCACCGGGCATAAACCCCTTACCATCATTGGAATCGTCCACAATTATCCCCCGGTCAACATAGCAAAACTCCGTCTCACAAAACCCATCAAGCATACTAAGCAGCATTGCGTCAAGCTTCTTTATGGCAGGTAGATTCACATACAAGTCAGACCGTGGTCGCATTTCCATGACTTCGTATGTACCCCCACCTGGGAACTGTTGTATCGAGGGCACAAGCTCAACAATTGAATCACTCACACATAAGAGCCACTCCATCTCTCGGCGCCACATTGCCTTTCTCTGTGGTGCCAGTGGCTCTAACCTCCATAACTCACCAAAAACAGTTGCTGCCATTCCAACCCAGTAATTGAGTTCAGAAAACCGAAATTCCACATATAAAAATGAAAAGTCTGTGCCAAAATCACACAAGGGTGTGCATATTCAAAGAGGATGTGACTAACCAGAAAGATTGGTGATGGCATTTGAGATAGCAAGGGCAGTGCAGACTCCTTTGCCTCCTCCAGACATATCTTCTCCAAGCAGAAGCTTAGCGAATCTCTCCTTCATCATTTCAACCTCTGCAACCATAATTTTTTTTTTTTTAAATTAAAAAAAACTACATTAAAAAAAACAAAATAAATGGTCTTAAAATAGAACAGAGTCAGATCTCTACTAATAAGAAATAGGATAAGGATCAATTTGCTTCAAAAGTGCCTCTCAGGTTTGGGAATTAAACTGGACAAGACCTTTTGAGCACTACACTTTTCTTAAGAATTTCTGTTTAGGCCTTAAATTCACTATCTACTCCTTTGTCCGAACTTTTCTCGGAAGCCAAACACTGAGCAAGAATCTCCTCAGAACCAAATTTAGAAACAAAATTTAAAACAAAAAGAAATAAAGTAAAAACAAAATCCAATACCAGACAAATCAGCGTCTCGTTTCTCCGGCTTCTCATCCCAAGCCACCACATCCTTTCCTCCGATCACCGGAAGCATAACCGGCGCCTGAAAACAAAAATTTCCGGGCACCTGACGCGGAGATGACGTCATCGAGCTCGAAGCCCCTTCCGCATCGAACCTCCGGCACGAGAAGCTGCTGCAACTCTCGGACTCGCTCACATCGGCGCTCAGACTATAACTCCCACACCGCTCCTCGCTCTGCTGGTCCGAGCCGTCCTCCGACGACACACTCCCCATTGTCGTCCAAAAGATCCGAATGAACGTCCGTACAGAGCAGATCTCAGGCGCACATTCGTTACCGCAAAGCCTACCGCATAAGATAAAAGGAGATGAAGCACACTCTCGCGTGGTCTGAAGAATGTTGCAGAGAAGAGAAGTTAGTGGTGGTGGTGATGGATAAAGCGATTTCAGGTTTGCTCACAACACACTCTTTCACTCTTTCTCTCCTCTCACTTTCTCTCTCTAAGAAAAAGCTAATGAGACTGTCACTCTGGGACACAGTGGGGTTGATGATGATGAAGAAGAAGGCACCAAAAGCAAAAGTGACGCCGTTTGTTCTGCACAGCTGAGCACCCGACACGCACCTTTTCCAGCGGGCCCCACCTATGCACTCTAATAAGAAGAAGATTACTATGCCATCGTGACGTGGCAGTGTTTGCTGACGTGTACGGATACGTTGTGGGGCCCTGTCCGGGAGATGGAGGGAATTCAGAAGTTTTGCGTGGGAAAGATACCTAACGGCGGTTTAGAGGTTAGCGAAGTGTTTTCGTTTTTTCGCTCGGAGAGAAAGTTAGGATGCGCGCGTCCTCTGTTTAAATTCCGTGCGCTCGCATCCCCAAGCGGCGATTAATATTCTCGTTTAACGACATCGTTTTCAGCGTAGATCTCTTTAAACGCATTGAGTGCGATTAGTCTTGGGTAATTACGTTGATTAACCATTTATTTCAGCGCAATTAAATATCTTTTCATGCAAATTAAAGAGACTGAATTCTGAAACGACCCGCGCTTTTTATTTCAATGAACGAGCCCAGTGCGATATGGACCGTTAAATTGTTCTGAACGTGGGACCAAACGAAAAGTCAGTCCTGGATCCCATAGGATCTTAAGAGCATCCACAGTGGGGGGTGTATATGGGGGTGTATGTTAAATATACACCCTGAGTCACCGGAATCGTCTCCAATGGTGAGATGTAAATTGATGTAAATATACATCACCACCATGGGGATGTAAAATAAAATGTATATTTACATCCATTTTTACATCTCTTGCAGGCGGGACCCACCAGAGAAAATAGAAGAAAAATGAAGAAAAGTCAACATAAAAGGCTGGGACCCACGGTTACACCTAGGGGTGGGCATCTAAAACCGAAATACCGAAACCGCACCCTAACCGAACCGTACCATACCGATTTCATACCGTTTCATTCGGTACCGATCAATATTCGGTACCGTACTGTACCGTACCAATAGAGTATGGTATGGTAGCAGTATCAAGTATTTGGTACCGATCAATACCGTACCGTACCGAATACTATTCAGATATATAATTTTCTATTGAATATGTTGATTGATATTGCATATGTTGATTAGGATTTGGTTGATTTGGATATTGAATATGTTGATGGATATTGAATATGTTGATTAGGATTTGGATATTGATAATTGAATATGTTGAATCTTTGAATTTGTAACTTAGGCATCACTTATTTTGGTAAATGAATATGTTGAATATTGAATTGGTTCATTTTTTAGTTGTGTCATTTTTGTACCGAAATGGTACCGATACCGTACCTATACCGACACGGTACGGTATGGTACGGTACCAATTTTGACAAACGATAATCTCATACCGTACCATACCAATTTAAATTTCCGGTATCGGTAGCGGTATGGGCTCAATACCGTACCATACCGTACCGTGCCCACCCCTAGTTACACCCCTGAATTTACACCCCCACTGGAGCAAAAAACATATTTACACCCCCCGGAGGTGTAAAGGGGATGTAAAAGTGGCTTTACACCCCCGAATTTACACCCCCCACTGTGGATGCTCTAACCACACCGGAGAGAATCTCCATGAGCCGGGGTCAGGTCTGAGTCGTCTGACTTGGTGTGAACGACAAGTATTCTGTCGGAGTCCGTATAAGGTTACGTATATATACTACGTTATTAATGTACGCATTAGCCCAAAACAGAGCATCTCTTGGACAGGTGTCGTTTTTGGATTGTGTTTCTCGATTGGGGGTGGTTGGCACCAATTTTTTTTTTTTTTTTCCGTCATCCGTTAAAGTCAATTTGCTTACGCTTTTTGACTGGTGGTCATTCACTCATTATCGAATCGATCAAATCTCAGCCAATCATCCGCGGGTGACATGGTGGGACCAACGTGTGTGTCGTTGATCAGAAAGGGTTGGTGGGAGAAAATTACGATCGTATAGGTGGGGGACCACCGTAGAGTTTCGCTGCACGTGACCGACATGTAGCCCGCAGACAATAGGACGGCGGATCGGGTACGTTTATTTGGATGAGCCCAGTTTGCGTGATGGACGGTTTATAATCAGGACCGTGTACAGAAGGATCTGTGGGACCAATGTATGTTGAATTTTCTGAGCTACTATTTGGAATTTTTTAGTGGATAATTAATTTGGTTTTTATTTTTATTATTTGTTGGTCATGAATATTAATTAGTTTGTGAGATTAGAGATTTGGTCGTTTTTTTTTTTTGGTCAAAGATATTTGGTCCATTGGAGTTAATGATAGTGGTGCTTAGGATGCGATTAAAATACTAACAATCCCAATGATAGTTGTTGATTCAAATGCATGAAGATGCAACTAAACATTTAAAATGCAAGTAAATGAATGCTTAAATTTCCGTGATTAGTGATTTGCTTGGCCTTTTGTGTAAATCTATAATTTTTTTTATTTTTTATTTGTTGAACTGAATTGGGGAATTATAACTCTAGTGCTTAAGAGCATTTGATTTGCCACAAGACATTGAAAAAAAAAATTTGCTACGAGACTTGAAATTTTAAGTTCAAATTCTCCATTTTACTGTACTATTGTTTGATCATCAAATACAAAAATTAGCATTTAATTAGTTATTTTTTGTTTACGGGTCGATTGAAATTTAAAACATTGGGTCAACTCCACTCTCGTCTATATTATGAGTTGGATTAGTAGGTGCATTACCTTTGATAATGCTTTCGGCTTTAGGGTCTCTATAGGCATATTAACATACATATATCACACAAATTTGTCCGCTAAGAGATGGGATTGAGTTAAAATTGGATTACATTGGATTGAAAATATAATGCTAATCCAATGATTTGTTTGGTACTACACATGTATTGAAATGTGCTACTACACGACAATAGTATGATTGGACATAATCCAATCCATATTATTTTTAGGTCTCCAAATATTTCACTAGGATTATGAATCCAATTCCTGTCCAACTACATAATCAAACTCACAAAACATGCCCTAGTAGACATTCATTGTATACCACAATGGGCAAATTACAACAATGATCCCAAAACTTTAATTGTTGTTTCATTTGTCTCGTTGGATTGAAGAACAATCATTTTGATTGTTATTTTGTTGGGTCATGTATTTAGTACGGGCATATCTTAACTTTGTTTGCGTCATGTTAAAAAGTGATTACATACTTTACACGTGAACATTTTAACTAAAGGCATTTCAGTCTCTCCAAGTCACTAAAAGAAAACAAATAAAAGGAAAAATAAAAACAAAAACAAAGAGGTTCAATATGCTCACAATTTATCTGATTTCGTCAGATTTTACTTTCATTATGATTCATATATGACACCCTCACCATAAAACGACTCCCCTAATATATCCTTGACATTATACTATATCTCACATTACTTTTGCGGTTCGTGGTCCAAATGAAATAATTTGTAGTCTTCTTGGACCAAAACCGTGGGGAATTGGATTGAGTTATACATTTTATTTGAGCTTTCTGAACAGGCCCAAACAAGGCCCACTTACACCTCTTGTTAACCGTAACCGCCTTTTGTTATTGTCCTCCGTCTGTGAACGAGCGCACCCAGTCCCAGTTAACGTATTTCATCCTCATCGAGCGCAGGTAGAGAATATCAATCATCGTCGTCCTCGTCGTCGCAGCCGCAAAGGATCAATACCCTAAAGCGTACGGACAAGATGCCGAAGAAGATGGGTGTAAACAGCAAGGCGGAGGAGGCTAGGGCTCGGAAGAGCTCGACCGAAGCCGAGCGGAAGGAGCGCGAGGCGCGCGAAAAGGACGAGCAGTACTGGCGCGAAGCCGAGGGCAGCAAGTCTCGCGCGGCCAAGAAGCGCGAGGAAGAAGCCGAGAAGCGAGCTGAGGCCGCTGCTCGCAAAGCCGAGGCGCGCCGATTGGCGGAGCTGGAGGAGAAGGAGCTCGAGAAGGCGGTAAAGAAGCCCGATAAGAAGGTCGGCCGAGTCGGGATCCCGGTTCCGAAGGTCACCGAGGCGGAGCTGAGGAAGCAGAAGGAGGCGGAGCAGGCGGCGTTGGAGAAAAAGTCGAATGAGGTGAAGAAAAAGCAGAGCCGTACGGCCGAGGAGGAGGAGTATGAGAGGATGGTGGCGGTGGAGAATAGGAATCGGGACGATTCGATCATCGAGGCGAGGTCGGTGGAGGAGGCGGTTGCGAAGATGACGGTGGCAGAGAGCTTGCCGGTGGATCGGCATCCGGAGAGGAGGCTCAAGGCGTCGTTTAAGGTGCGTTTTATATGGTTATTGGGAGAATTTAGGGTTTTATGGTTTTGTGAATTGGATTGCATTGGTTTTGATTTTGTTTGGTTTAGCTTTGAAATCTAAAGTTTAATTCACTTGGATAGAATTGTTTTTGCTGTTGTTGAATAATAGAGCATTAGGAATTATGAGTATGAGGGTTGGAGCTCTAGGCATGATTGAAGTAGCTGAATTCTGAAACACAGCTTTCTTCGTTATTTGCGATGATATCATGATCAGCTTCTCGAAAGCAGTAATTTGGTGTGTGGGTGTACGTTAGTGTTGTTTACTTGTTTGTGTTGGCACTAACATCTTTGCAATGTGAATTGGTAATTGAACACCTGTTTCAGACATATCGGTTGCCTATTGAATTTTGAGCAAATTTAGCTATAGCTCTATTTCCATTTCATCATGGAGTTCAAACATAGCTTAAAGCTATGAACTATAACTTTTATAGTCATTTATTCATTCCCTTGATCTCAGTAATAAGCATATGTTCTTTGTATAAACTTTATCTCTAGAAATGATGATTGGCAGAAGTTTGTAGGTTTCATGTGAGTTGTTGATGTACAGATATATCTCATGTTTGATCCCTCTTGGGGAACTGCAATTTAAAATGTGATCCCTGTAGTTGTCGTTGCTGCCCCACTTCTGTATTGCAGTATTGGCATTTCCTGATGAAGTATAATGTTAACTATTGGTGTCTTCAGATGAAGTATAATTTTGGTCGCTATTGTTAGAAGCTAAGTCATATTCTTAGTGGCAGTGATTTGTTAATGGCCAGCGAACCTTTTCAATGATGTCTTTGTAAACTTCCATTGATAAGTTAGCCCCTTTTCTATCTCGAAAAAATAAGTCACCCCTTGTAACAATCTTATCTCATTGCTTGCTGCTTTGGTCTTATGGAAAATTTTGACATTAGTAATTTTGTTCTCTTTGTGTTTATAATATGACGAGATCTTGTGATAATTGTAGGCTTTTGAAGAAGCTGAGCTCCCAAGTCTGAAGGAAGAGAAACCAGGTCTTACTCACAATCAATACAAGGACATGATATGGAAGCTATGGAAGAAATCTCCTGATAATCCTCTAAATCAGGTATGTCCTGGATTTACTTTTGTTGTTTTCTCTGGTAAACTTAATGGTTTATTTCCTGTGATTTGAGATGATAAGTCTGCTTAAATCCTTGAATTATTGTCCTCATGTCATATATGCTCTCACCAATATGTAGAGCTTTGTTCAATACCTTGAAACTTTTGTTACTTAAGACACTGTATATTGGCTTAGTGCGTCATGCGTCCAGACGGATAGGTTTGCGTGTTACATGTTGGAATATATAAAGCTGTTTTAAGTTGTTAATCATATGTTAGGATATCTTTTTGTGACAATGAAGCCAGCCTAATTTCTACTTTCACATTTGCAGGCAGCTGAGTGATCACAGAGCATCTTCACCATGCAAAGGCTGTTGAGTTTCTCTCCCAGGCTTGTTTTGCCGATTTCATCATGTCCAACCAACGTAAATTTGTAATTTGAAACGCATGTATGGTTTATGCCCTACTGTATGTGCCATGTCCGCTCAATGAAACATGATTTAAATAATTATGCAGTCTTTTATCTTTTACCCTAATTAAGCCCCCCCGCCGACATATTTACAGAACTTTTTGTGTAGATTCAGTCTGCTGTAAATCTGGTAATAGTTGGAAGCCATTAATTTGATTACAGGTACTAGTTGGAATTCGAAGCCATTAATTTGATTTGTCAAGATATGTTTTCATCATATAAATCGGTTTTAGTTTTGATAAAATCTTATTTATTTCTGTTTTATCATTTAATTGTTCACTGCCCCAAGTTTCTCCCAAAACCCTCAATTCCCTCACATACAATAATGCAGAAATAAAAAGATATATAAAGCAAGGGCAAAGAAACACGAGTTATAGCCACGTCTTGAATTTGGTTCCTAGAATTCGAAATCTCGCAAATGTAATGTGATATGTTATAAAACCGAGGTCAAAGTTTATTTATTTCTTTTTGTCAACTTAAGTCAATGTCCTTTTTTATTAGGCAAAACCCATGGACAAGAAACTCAAGCTTTTTAGATGCGCCAGTGGACTCTCCTCATTTATGCAACAACAAATAAGCAAGGCCATTGAATCTTATACCGACAGACAGAAAATAGATCTTGGGTACAAGCCAATTCAAGTGAGTGATAATAAAAAGGCATCTCTAACTCTTCCATTTTCTTCTCTCCAATTCAAGTGAGTGAAGAAAGCAAATCGTTGCACTGTGTGAGAAAAGAAAAAAAAAACATGTGCTCATGATCCTGTTGATGATAGTTGCAAGTTGCAACAAGCCCCTACAACCTTTTGGAAATAGTTATGTTGTGCCATTAATACCTGCCAAATATTGGTAAATACTTATTCCCATCAACCACTTCACATCATGAAAATAAATCAATAGAAGAATATGTCAGAAACACAGGGAAGCTACCAGAAGCAATCTTCTTCTTAAGTTCTGAATGAACTGGTGCCTCAGCACCAGGTACCATGGTTAGATAAGTCAGAAGATTGATCCCCCCAAATGTTATCCTTCAGGTCCTGCAAGGCAGTGAAGAAGAAGAAGAGGACAATTATTGTTGGTCTAAATTCAGATAGCTCCAGCAGAGAGATGCTACTTAGATTGCTCATTTCTGTTGTTAAGGCAGGGGACAGTGTAACAGCTGTTCATGTTCAAGAAGCAGATGCTGATGCTTTTGATCCAAACTCTTTCCACACCCATGAAGATCTCTGCAAGTCCAAGAAGGTATTGAATTTTTTCTTTTCTTTTTTCGTGAAATTGTAAATTGGATAAGACATTGAGGAAAACTGGGGCTTATGGCTCTCTTTTTTCTTCAATGCAGGTGGATTTCCAAGTAAAAGTCTGCATTACAGATTCATATGTTTCTGAGTTACCCTATCAAGTGAGGATCGGCTATGCAACAATCCTTGTACTTGGTTGCAGCCTTTCAGGGTAATGAAACTATAAAACCAATCTCTCTCTCTCTCTCTCTCTCTCTCTCTCATGTATGGTTAATTTGGTTAAGTACAATGCAGGCCAAGCCTTTCAGCTATCAATACTTGCTTGAAAGGGTTACCTCCCTCATGCACTCTTCTGGTAATGGATACTGTTGGAAGAATACTTTTGGAAGGGCAGGGGACTTCCCAACAAGGCTCTGTGAGGGCAGCAGCCCTGCAATCTTCTCAGTCATTTTCTTCAACCTACCCTTGTTCTGATAAAAAAACAAACATCACTCCCCAGTTGCAAAAGTCATTAACCGTACCAGCTTCCTCTACGGGGCCATCAATGCGACCAACTACTAGAAGAGCACTCTCTGCTGTAAATAAAATGGTGGAGGTTTCTGACTTGGTGGCTGAGAAACTGTTTCATAGATTGGCACTGTTAGAAGCAGAAGGGTCCACCAGGAATTTCGCACCGCAAGAGCTTCGTTATGCAACTAACAATTTCAACTCTGCCATGGTGATTGGAGAGGGTGGACATAGTAAGGTGTACCGTGCCAAACTTGGAGATGGTCAAGATGCTGCTGTGAAAGTCCTCAAATCCTCACACTGTTCTGCTGTGGATTTTTTTCGAGAAGTAGACTTGTTTTCTAGTATGAAACATGAGAGCATTGTTCAGATAATTGGGTTCTGCAATAACAAGGAGGTGCAAGCAATTGTATATAATCTTTTAAAGGGAAGTTTGAGGCAGAATTTGAGACAACTTAGGTGGAGTGAGAGGATGAAAGTTGCAATTGGAGTGGCAAAGGCACTGGACTACCTTCATCATTCTCACAACCCTCCTATCATTCATAGGGATGTGAAGTCATCTAACATTCTCCTCTCCCACAATTGCGAACCGATCGTAAGTTCAATAATAATTTCTTATATTTGTGAAGCTAACCAGCATAAACTAGGTTCAGGGTAACCAGAGCTTTAACCAAATCCAGATTTAATTGTACCTTTTATATATCACACTCGTGTTTTGATGATTGCCTCTCATGTTAAACTTTAGGTCAATAGCTCTATATTTTGTCTCTGATTATGTTGACTACTGTGAATCTACTTGCACAACAAAATGAAATTTCCAGTCTTGTAAAATACTTTTAACTTTCAATTCCCAGTTGTCGGATTTTGGAGCAGCTATGTTCCTTCAGCAAGCTTCAGCTAACACAAGGGCGCCATTTGATGTCGTTGGGACGTTTGGATACTTAGCCCCGGAGTACATGATGTATGGCAAGGTTGATGAGAAGATAGATGTGTACTCATATGGAGTGGTGCTCCTAGAACTTATCACTGGGAAAGAGGCTATTCAAACTGATCAGGAGATTCGTGAAAGCTTAGTGCTATGGGTAATGGAAGAAACCAACTAGCTTTAAAACCAATTCTGAAAAATAGTCTCTTTTTCTGAAGCTGCGTTTCTTTGCTCATTGACTTGCAGGCAAGGTCCTTGATGTGCAGTGGCATATGGGAACGTCTAATTGATCCTAACTTGGTTGAAGACTATAACAAGGAAGAGATGGAAATGATGATGATCGCAGCGCGCCTCTGCCTTATGCATTCATCTTCTCGAAGGCCAACCATGAAGATGGTACTCCTTGTTTTCTTCTTTTCTTCATACTGAAAAAAAGAAAAAAGAAATCTAATAACTTCTGTATCAAGTTATCAACATGGCGACAAACTGCAAATGTTTGCTTAGCAGGCCACTTTGAGATTAGGTTAACATTTAGTTAGTTCTAACTAAGATGGCTCTCATTATTGTTTCTGTTTGAGCAGATACTTAGGTTCTTTGAGAAGCCAGAGCACTGGTTAAGGATGCAAAGGGAAAGAGATGATTTTCTGAATGGAATTGATTTACAAGGTGAAACAGCCGGGCCTTGACAATCGATCAAGTTGATTTCACCGTGCAGTAAACAGCCCGAGTTGATCAATATCAGCTACCAAATAATCCCTGTATATATAAATAAATATTGAAAATTTATTATTTAAATGCATGGTGACCAACAAGAAAATTGGTTGCAAATGAATTTTCTTGTTGGTCACCTAATATTTGAAACAATAACTTGGATGTGTATCCAAAGGATTTTCACAAGCTTCTACAAAATAAAAGATTTACAATATTACTTCAGCTTTTCTAAATTCTGGAAGCCATTTTCTTATTCAAAATACATAGTTACACAGGGAAGGAGCTGAAAAGTCCATGCAGCATGCCTCTCTCTGTGGAATTGGGTTTTTGCTGATATTCATAATGAGCTCTTTATTACAGATTGAATCTTTCAGAAGCAGAAAATCAAGATCTGCTTACATAACTTATCAATTCAGTTTCAATCATTATTTTTTTCTTTCTAATACAACCATACTATAACAGAACAAAAGTTTAAAAATAGGCAAAAATAGTTTGCTTCCGGGGATAAATTGATCATTTCAACATGGCTACTCTTTAAGCCTTGGCCAACTGAGCGAAATTAATCGGATATACGAATTGTGGTCCACCATTGTAGAGGGTCACGGCTGCCAACTTAGAAGCAGCCTGTGTTGGATGAAATAGATCCCAGAACAAGTAATTGTTGCGATTCGAGCAAAGTTTGGCTTGTGGAATACAGAAGGATTCAGCATTGAGCTTCCCAGCTCCGCAACACGCAGCTTCCACTTGAGTAAAATCTGAAAAATCATAAGGAAATTAGAATATAATTAGATTGTGCCTTTTTCTTCACCATTTTTGTCAAGCACATGCATGGTTCCATTAAGAAGTGCATTATGGCTTGTGATTGAGTATTGACTTACTGAATGGAAGAGGGTTCTGAATGACATTTATTGTCATCCCAAATGCATTTCCAAGTGAGTACTTGATGCTCTTGTGTTGTGAGCTGAGCTTGAACAAGAGGGCATCCAACCTTTCATGAAAAGCGATTGCGAGATCGTTCAAGTCCTCCAAACACCCCCCAGTAGCATTGTAAATCCTCTGAGATGGACAGCATCCGATCGGGGCAATGCTGATAATGCCAAACTTCCTTGCTCCAAGTTCAATCAAACTCTGACATATCAATACAGGGCTCAGCTAAGCTATGAAAAACTTGTACATTTGGTGGATAGAGTTAAGTTGAATCTTGTTAGAGAAAAGTATCACCTTCAAGTGCTTCTCATAAGCAAGTTCTAAAGACGATAGGAAAGCTTCCTTGGAGAAGGAACTGTTTGAATGGTAATATCCAAACAGGTCATTGCTACCAGTGCTGATGAAGAACAAAGACTTTGAGATCAACTTCTCAGTTACACTTTGCCCTTTGATGTCAGCAAGATTGCTCTTGACAAGAGAAAGTTGCTGTATCTGTTCTGATAATGAGATAACATTTTTTCGTTTGACGAATGGGGCACCAAATGGAATTCTCTCTTTTCCAAACTTCATCAAAGTCAGCTGAAACAAGAAAGTGAGAAATCTGTGTGAAACCAAATCTCTCTCTCTCTTTCTCTCTCTCATGCTTATGAGATCAACTCTTCTCAAGATTACGTACCGGTGTTTGTCCAGTTATGTCAAGAAGGCCAGACCCTCCAGAAGCAAAGTTAACACCTCTGAAGCTCTTTTTGTGAAGAGATGTAGTGTTGAGAGAAAGAAAAGGCCGTGGACTTCTCTTGAGACCGAATTTCTTGGCTGTAATCACAAGAAGCAACATGTTAAGCTTCATGGTTCAAAGAAGTTGGGCTGAAGTTCAAGTTAGCTTTCCCGAATTTCTTTTTTTTTTCATAACTACATTATACTTACAGATAAAATCAGCACTGTTAAGGCCATTGCTGAACCTTCCAGTAGCTCTTGAGAAAGGAAAGTCAACGCCATTGTGGGGAAAGTCAGCCCTTGCCATGCTACCAGGCAAGAAGTTGTTGGTGCCAACATCAGCAGTTGAGTCACCTAGTATGAAGATTGCAGGCACACCTGCTTCTGCTAAACCAACAACAGCTATAGCAAAACATAGAACTAGAAGACCAACCCATGATTTGTTTTCCATGAGAGATGTAATTAAAAGAAACTAATTGATTAATTAATTTTTTCCCCAACAAATTCTATGTTGCATGTTCAAGAAAGATTCACTTTCACTTTCATTTTTCTCTTCAATTAAGATGTGATGGATATTTATACGCATAGATGCTTTAGGAACCGTCACTTCCTGGAGAAAATGTGCACTTACAAACATAAGAGGTTCACTTGGCGGATTGGCATAGTTGTTATCGATGGCCGGATTGACCATTAACCAGCATCTTCTGTGACCATTTTTATGAGTAGGGTTTGTTAAGTATAATTATAGCGAGCTTAATGTTAAATATGAAAAGAACCAGGGTTCACACAGACTATGACCGGAATGACCCTAGACCAAAATCTTCGATTACTCGCGATAAAATATCTCTAATAGAGGTGAGACCCACATAGACCGACAAAAGTTGTTGCCGTCCATTGTAACATTCATTTCAGGTTTTGGACAAATTTGGTTGTTTATGGGGTGATCACTTTGTAAACACATAATACTAAGTCCACAGTTCTCTGACAGAAACAAGAAGCCCAGCTAGAGGCCTGTTTATTTGTCCTTAAGATACGCAATTAAATTTCTTTCTTTTTCCTCTCTCTCTCTCTCTCTCTCTCTCTCTCTCTGATTAAACAACAATACAAGATGTTTCTTTCCCCTTGGCTTCTAATACCTGAAGCAGAACTTAATTACATGCCAAACAAGTGACTGAATGAAAGCTGCATTTTATTGCCAAAAGTATACAAATTTCAATAGAAAAATTTTGGTAGCAAAGAATGGGACACTCATGTATAATTGCAATGGTTAAATTAATAATTTTGTATAAATCTTCTGAATCAGCTTGTTCATTAAGGTCTGGTGCTTCTGCCTGCAGCCCTACCACAAAGAAGGGCATTTCTGGGAATTGGGTACTCATCCCTAGCAGACTCCACAGGTGAGTAGACTCGTAGGTAAAATTGTTGTCCAAGGTATTGCCTTGCCCAAAACTCACTCCTCAAATTCCACATACCCACATTGTCTAGTGCTATGTATATAGCTGTCCATGACTTGGGATAAACCTGTAACATAATCAACCAAAACTTCAGTATAAATACTAAAATGTTTGAATCCCGTTTGTAGAAATTAAAAAAAAAGAAAGCTAGGCAACAAACCTGGGTGGTGCTTCTTGAGACTGCATCTCTAAGGTTGTATTGGTTTCGGCTTGCTGGTGTCCATTTGCCTCCATCCATTCTGAAATTCAAGTATAAATGTGATGTGAGAACTTATATGCATGACAAATTAGCAACCAAAATTCCCATTTTCAAATTCATTTTGTTAACAACAATAAAATGCTGAATTATATTATTGATTTACTTACCCAACAACCCAAAAGGCGTATCCATCCAAGTGCCAGCTCTGCAAAATGTTCTCATGGTTCTGAAACACAATCTCCACAAAGGCTCTGAAATCAGCACCCATGACTTAAGTGTCAAGGTACATCTTTTGGCCAGTAGGGTTATCTGAGATGCTTCCAGCTTTAAAAACCCCACCAATCTTGAAGTAGTCTGCAAGCTTCAATGGTGTGTCTGCAGGGATAAAGGACACACTGTTCACTGCATATCTCTGTTTTCCACTAACTTGAGCTGCTGAGCTCTCTAGCTTGATTGTCCTGCTCACATTTACAAGACCATAGTGGTAGGAGCCTTGTGGGTTTGGCCTAGGTCCACTTGCCGTTAGGTTTGTCCTGAAATGTACAAAATTCAAGACATAATTGTTAAATCGAGGCGCAAAAAAAATCACTAGAAAAAACGAGACTTGCTTGTACAGACGGTAAACACTTTTATCGTTAATGCGGTACACAATATGATATATAAATGGAACCAAAGTAATATTATTCTTGCAACCTAAAAAAGGGTAAATTTGACTTTTCATTACTTTCGGATTGAATTGGATTGGATGAGAAGTGACGTACCTAATAGAAAGAGCCTGGCTAAGAGACCAACCGGTTTGGGTTGTGGGCCCAGCGGGAATTGGGCCGGAAACTTGACGGGCCGAGTTGCTGTAGTGAAAGACGGCAGTGCTTGTGAGGACCTGGCTGGTAAAACGGGTTGAGACAGCAATGTAATAGTCCTGAGGGGCCTGATCTGCTGTGACGAGCACAGAATAAGACTGGCCCACATGGATGTCAAGTGAATCATAGGTGGTCTGGATGGTGTGGGTCCCTTCAACTTCAACCAGCTTCAATTTGTGGCCCTGGATCCTGAAGTTGAGAGAGTTCTGGAGCCCAACATTTGAAATCCTAAGCCTGTAAGTTTTACCTGTAGGAAACAGACAAAAATAAGCTCCAAAATGTAAAACAGTAAAAAAAAAGAAGGGACCAATGAGCCAAGCCATGGATGAGTTTAGAGGGGTAAAACAAGAAATTACCTTGGTCAAATGTGAAATATGTTCCATTTGGTCCACGTCCATTGATTATAATGCCATCTGGGTAGGGAAGCCTGTGACCACGATCTAAAATGCCCTTCAATATCTGCAATATTGGACCAGCATTGCAGTTAGGTCAGAAATGGGTTAAAATTAAATTGATAACGAAAATACCAACTAGCTCCTAGTTTAGTACGTGACAACTTTGAATTTCCCGTCTCCGTTCTTTCGAAAAAAAGTAATAGAAATTGCATGGAGATGAAGTTTTTTTTTTACCTTGTGGTCAGTCTTGTACCAATCTCCAATGAGAATGGAGTAATCACCAGCTGGGTCTGGGAATGGGACTGGGATTCTTGGTATGAATTCCTCCTCTGTTGAACTCCATTCCTGTTTTTGTTTTTCCAAATTCCATTTTAGTTTCACATCAAAATTAAAGTAAGTGATTGTATGCAACACGTATACTCTTAGAGCATCTCCAATCGATATGTCAAAAGTGCCACATAGACATTTAACAGCTAGAAATAACATCTCACACACTCCAACCGATGTGTCAAAGCTGATGTGGAATGAAGGCTGAAGATTGAGATGTTATTTTTGACATCCCAAAAGCAAGATGTCAAATGAATATTTTATTATTTTTTCTTTTCTATTCTTTTTAATTAAAAATAAATTAACACTAAAATGTAATAAAATAATAATTTAATTTGACATATCGGGTGGAGTGTAAAGCTGTGTAAGATGTCAAATTGCCACATCAGCCATCAAATTTAAATTTGATGTTTGGTATTTGACATCTCCCTTGAAGATGCTCTTAGACAGTATTTCAAACCGATCACATACTAACCACCGTCACAATATTATCATGGGCCAGGCAAGAGTTATGAAATAATTAAAACTCAATAAAAAATTTCCATGTGTGTTTGGTTGGTCTTTTCGATCAAACCAAAATAAATGCGTGTGGCAATAGATGTCAATTTTTGCCAGCATATAATCCGATCATAGTATATGCATGGCAAGTTGTCACTTGTTATTGTCAACCACATGGAAGATTTGTTACGTCACCGCGGCCATATTAATTACATGTACAAAAAAGAGTATATGACCTCTTAGCTGTCTGAATTTTCTGATTATTATTCTCTAAATTATATTACCATATTTTGTCACACTGAATTAAAATCTACCGATTAGATTGACAATGAAAACTAAATTGCCTCATTTATTTTACCTAAGTTTCGTCTTGTACCATGCAATATTATATATTTAGGAAATAAATCCATGCAATAGTTCCATGCCTTGTAAAGATATATTTAAAATCTATTAAATTTTGCTAATTTAACAAATATGAAGATTTAATTAGCATTTAAGTGTTTGGAAAACATATAGAAAAAGAGAAAGCAAATAGTTTGGAAGAAAATGGCACCATGAAATAAGGAAAGGCTCCGGCAAGCTGTTATGAACATTGATAATGAGGTTGTCATTGGTCACGGAGTAGATTTCAGGCCCCGGAAACTGGCCATTGATAAGAATTCCCTGCAGCAAAAACAAAATTAAACATTCAAGTTAAAAGCAGTTATTCATGCACCTGAGGTCTTATGTCGAACTCCCCTCCTCTAATATCGCTTGTATAAAAGAAAAAATTGTAAATACAAACCTGTTGACGAACACCGAGGAGTAGATTTCAGGCCCCGGAAACTGGCCATTGATAAGAATTCCCTGCAGCAAAAACAAAATTAAACATTCAAGTTAAAAGAAGTTATTCATGCACCCGAGGTCTTATGTCGAACTCCCCTCCTCTAATATCGCTTGTATAAAAGAAAATATTGTAAATACAAACCTGTTGACGAACACCGAGTGGATATATGTCCCCGTAGGTTACGTTCCAGTCGAAAAATCTGTAAGGATCCTCAGCAGTTGCAAAACCCAGAACCAGAAGAAAGGCTGCTAGATATTTAAGCAGCATATTTTTTTTGGAGGAGCTTTAGAAAGTAAAGATGTATCAGAGAAAAATTCAGGTGCAGATGATCAAACAGAGAAGAAGAAGAAGAAGTAGTAGTAGTAGTTTTCTCTACTGGAATTACAAAGAAGGTTACAGAAAGAGACACTTAAATAGGTTTTGAGGTAACTGACCCTAACTTATTAGTCTTGATATTTATACTGCAAAATTGCAAAAAAAGAAAGAAAAAGAAAAGTCCCAAAAAATAAAAAAACAAAAACGAGTGGGGATATATATTTGTCCTCTCTGGATTGTGCTGTGCATAGTGGAAAGTCATAGTCTCACAGCGGTGGAGTGTCCACGTGGCGCACACCCAATAAAAGAAGTGCGACTTTGGCATTTGTTTAATGACTATAATGCCCTTGCCCTGACCGCGTAAGCTTCTTTTGCTAACACATGCATGGCTGGATGATAGTGGGGGAAGGCCCGTGATTTCTGACGCCACACACGGTATTTTCATGTGCCCAATTTTCTGACTTACCAGACACCCCAAAACGCAAGCTATTCAGACGAAAAGGGTTGTGTTGGTGGTTGGTGGGCGCAAGGAAAAGGAAAGAAATGGTATGAAAATTATGGGGGGGACACCAACTTGGAGATTGATTTACGCGTAAACCAATGATTGTTTATGCTTATGGGACATTCCTTATTAGTAGTACTAAGCTAAATGAGGTGTTTTCGTTTTGGCTCTTTCCTTCAAGCCTATGAAAGACAACCACCATGAAGCTTCTAATGGATTTCTTTTTATTTTATTTTTGGTAATGATCATACAGATTTCGTCTGGATTTTGTCTTAATAGATAGATATGAAATTGAATATATGCTGGAATCTAGTAATCATTTTTAAACTATATTTTTGGGTTTATATTGCTTTCTCATTTCACATGAACAAGTTATGGTTTTACCCTATTGCAGAAACCACAAATTCTTCGTCTAACTTGACTATAGAGGTGAAAGATTAATCAACCGTCTAGTAGCTAGTTCATTCTAAAGTATATTGTCAATGCTTTTTTTTTTTGTTGAGTTGACTGTAATGCTTTTTTATTGTTGCTGAACTGGCAATTAAATTTTGAACCAGAAAAACAAAGGCAAGTAATTAACTATGAAAAGTTTACGTTCGTCTAACATGAGTATAGGGGCGAAAACGATAAATTGTTTGTCTAACTTGAGTATAGGAGCGAAAGATTAATCAAACCGTCTAGTCTGGTTCATTCTAAAATCTCTCTTAGAATGATTGAAGCTCGTGAATGAGTTCTACGGGGTAGAACAATATGGGAGGGAAAAATAAAAACATAATTATCAATGCTTTTTTGTTGCTGCTGAACTGGCAAGTAATTAAATTATGAAAAGTCTACGTACATCTAATATTAATGCATGGAAAGTCAAGTCCTTATTAAATTAATACATGGAGATAATTAGGGACAGGAACTTTTTGTTCCACCTAGAAACCTCTCTCATCTCATCGCATGTGAGTTTGATAAAACAGCAATATTTGGGGTTTTTTTTTTGTTTTTTGTTTTTTAAATGCAACCATAAATCACGATTTCGACATAACTGTATTGTAAAATAAATATTGAAGCGTATTCCGCTGTGGGATTGAGACTCATAAGCGTGTGATTTTGTGGCATCCACATGCAATATTGTTTTGTTACAATTAAATTGGGATCATTTGCAATTTGCAAGAAATTGACATCGAAGAAAATGAGCTCTAATTCTGTTTTCCCTAACTTTTGCCGTGATTATGGGGATAATGTCGTCTCCAATTGACGAAGCTAGAAGTACACACAACTCCCTTTTTTCCCTAATATATTTCATAACAAATTGGTCCCCTTTAGAAGAAATTCTTGTATTTAGCAACTCGAACCACGTGGTTATGCGACGATTCTCACGCAAACTGCAAACACTTGTAGTTTAATCCCACCTAGCCCCACCTGTCCGATCACCTTTGTTAATCTACTTTTTTATACGACAGCCGCACACAAGAATTGCTGCCGGGTTACGGTTAGGCTCCCCCATTTCCTCATATCAGCCCTCTAGCTTGAACCTGGTTACGAATGGGCCAAATAGCCGTCAAGAAAATAATGCAAAGCCCAAATAAAGAAACAACACCTAAACCCAATATGCATTTGGTCCCAAGTTTCTTCATCATTTTTCGGTCTGAACTCGAATTTTGTTGTATCGCCCAATATGCATTTGTGGCCAGACTTTTGCTATAGAAGAAAACCAGAGAGAGATAAAAAAAATCAAATGTAGAAAACTGGAGCCCAAGAAAAAAGCGGAAAATACCAACAATGTCCCCACTCTCACTCCCAAACAAACAACTAAACAAACGAGAAATGGATTGGATGGGATTTCTTATCCGTAACCCATCTCTCTCTCCTACACACTCTGCTCTCCAGAACACTCGTCAGAGCCCGCCAATGGAAGCTCAGCCACTTCTCTAACCAAACACCAAACTCCATGGACGCTCTCTTCGTGAACCAGTGCTCCATCTCCGGCTTGAAGCTCGCCCCAAAGCTCACAACCACCCCTTTCCCTTCCCAATCTCTTCACCGCCTCAAACCCACCTCCAAGCCCAACCTCACATCCACCTCCGTTATCCAGAACCAGCAAAGCCAATCCCTCGAAACCCAGAAACCATTTCCGTTCTCAGACGACAATGAAGACAAACCAGACGACGAGTCGTACGGCGAGGTCGACAGGATCATCGGAAGCAGAGCACTGGAGGGCGGCAAGGGCATGGAGTATTTGATTTCGTGGAAAGACGGTCATGCCCCTTCGTGGGTCCCATCGGATTTCATAGCCAAAGACGTGGTGGCGGAATACGAGAGCCCATGGTGGACCGCCGCCAAGAAAGCCGACGAGTCTGCGCTGAGCCAGCTCATAGCCGCGGAGGACGACTGGCGCGACGTCGACGCCGTGGACGGAGACGGCCGCACGGCTCTCATATTCGTCTCGGGTCTCGGGTCAGAGCAGTGCGTTCGGGTCTTGGCCGAAGCCGGAGCCGACTTGAACCACCACGATAACGGCGGGGGACTGACGGCGTTGCATATGGCGGCAGGGTACGTCCGGCCAGGTGTCGTGAAGTTATTGGTGGAGTTGGGTGCGGATCCCGAGGTGGAGGATGACAGGGGACGGAAGCCGTTGGATTTGGCTAAGGAAGTACTTAAAACGACGCCGCAGGGGAACCCGATGCATTTCGCGAGAAGGTTGGGGCTGGAGAGTGTGATTAAGGAGCTTGAAGGGGCAATATTCGAGTACGCCGAGGTGCAGGAGTTGCTGGAGAAGAGAGGGAAGGGGGATCGCGTGGAGTATTTGGTCAAATGGAAGGACGGTGGAGATAACGAGTGGGTCAACGCGAAGTTGATAGATGACGATCTGGTGCGGGATTTCGAGGCTGGGCTCGAGTACGCCGTGGCGGAGGGTGTGGTGGGGAAGAGAGTTGGGGATGAAGGGACGATGGAGTACTTGGTGAAATGGACGGATATAGATGAGGCCACGTGGGAGCCGGAGGAGAATGTTGATCCTGATTTGATTAAGGAGTTTGAGGAGGCCCAGAATGTGAGTGGGCCGGGGAGTGTGGAGGAAGCCCAATTGAGAAAGTAGGAAAAGAATTGGGCTTTGTTTGTTCTTGTGTATTGATTTCAAATGCTCATATGGCATAACTTGTTGATCAATATAACATGAAGGAAAATTCAAATGTCTTAGAATCATATACAGACATATTATATAAAAACTCATATAAAGTGTATTTGGAGAGAAAAAATCCAAAAGCTAGTGACTTGTCATTTTTTAATTAGCTCTCAGTGTGTTAAAATTTTATAAAAACTAACGAGAAAATAACAAGTAACTAGTTTTGGAGGGTTCAATTAACTTGGGGTAATTAAATCCTCTTTAGGAAAGCAGATTAATTAATTTCTCTATTTGGTAACAACATGATTAGGAGGGGTTAATTAATTAGCAGAAAACAAGGGGTTAATTAGGGAGGGACATTTCCTCATTCTGTCACCTTACCAATCCACATTCCCACTGTACTCTCTCTCCATGGCATTTATGAATTCCATCACCAAGCAGCATCCTTAAACTACGTGCATCAAACTTCGACCGTCCGATCAAATCCAACGGAACATAAAAAGGCGTGCACAATACGCAGTGCACAGCTTCTCTTCCTCCTCCAAAAACAAACAACGAACGAAACCGCAGAGAGCTTCTCTTCTCTCCGTCGAAACAAAACTTGAAGAAAAAGAAGAAGACCCTCTGTCCCATTTCATAAGGTTGGGGCTGGAGAGTGTGATTAGGGAGCTCGAAGGGGCAATATTCGAGTACGCCGAGGTGCAGGAGTTGCTGGAGAAGAGAGGGAAGGGGGATCGCGTGGAGTATTTGGTCAAATGGAAGGACGGTGGAGATAACGAGTGGGTCAACGCGAAGTTGATAGATGACGATCTGGTGCGGGATTTCGAGGCTGGGCTCGAGTACGCCGTGGCGGAGGGTGTGGTGGGGAAGAGAGTTGGGGATGAAGGGACGATGGAGTACTTGGTGAAATGGACGGATATAGATGAGGCCACGTGGGAGCCGGAGGAGAATGTTGATCCTGATTTGATTAAGGAGTTTGAGGAGGCCCAGAATGTGAGTGGGCCGGGGAGTGTGGAGGAAGCCCAATTGACAAAGTAGGAAAAGAATTGGGTTTTGTTTGTTCTTGTGTATTGATTTGAAATGCTCATATGGCATAACTTGTTGATCAATATAACATGAAGGAAAATTCAAATGTCTTAGAATCATATACAGACATATTATATAAAAACTCATATAAAGTGTATTTGGAGAGAAAAAATCCAAAAGCTAGTGACTTGTCATTTTTTAATTAGCTCTCAGTGTGTTAAAATTTTATAAAAACTAACGAGAAAATAACAAGTAACTAGTTTTGGGGTTTTCACTTTTTATAAGTGCTTTTGTATATTATGTCATGTTAAAATGATTTCTCGATGACTTGCATAAAGGTAGGTGCAATTTTATCTCCTCTCTCAAATCTATTATCTGAATCATAGTCAAGTCATTATACGTAACGCCAATTGCCGTATAAGAAGTTCACTGGCATACCTGCAAAGATACAATTTTCACATACCCGACATGCGAACCCGCCAATTATTATTATTTTTTGGTTTCTGGCCCGGTCATGTACTCTTCCGTTGAGCTTGACTTGACCATTAACCGGCCAAATTCAGAGAGTCCGTGATTGCTGCTCTGATTTGCCTCAGGACACATTGTTCCACCAAATTGAAGTTGAAAAATACTGAAATAACATTCAATACGGAAAAGACTTACTACCATATGTATTTGGTTTCTAGTGTAGAGGTGGGTAAATCTAACCAAACCTGTCACGAATTTAAAAGAAAAGAAAGAAAAATGATGATTTGGCAACCCCAGTGACTCAGCGACAGCTTGCAAATGATGATTGTCAATGTCAATATTTACACACACACAGAGACCAATATTTTGCCATTTGGAAGGAGGATGCAAGTGAATTTAAAAGAGGGGAAGGAAGACTCTCACCAAAAAAAAAAAGAGGGGAAGGAAGATGCCTTTCCTATTCACAAAAAAACAGAATGAATAGGTCCAATGGCTCCATACAGTGGGCCCAACCCCAAAATCTATCCTATTTGGGTAATTTACAGTCTATAATCATTCATAGCCTTATCATTATTATATCTTTCTTATTTTGATACAATCATAACTAGGCAATTCATCAACAACATTTTTAGTGAAACATGTGAACAACAAGAGGAAATACCTTAGTGTTGCTGGTTTATGGTGGCTGTTTGGTAGTGCTTCTGCATTTATGTTGTTTTTTAATTTTTTTAAGTTTTGTTTATCTGTTGATATCATTATCTAGGGTAGTCTGTTTGCTCATGTTCATCTGATATTGCAAATTAGATCTGTGCTTCCTTTGTATTGTTGTATATGTTCCACCCTTTTGGGTGACGTAATGAAATTTCATCCTTCGACCCAAAAAAGAAAGAAGAGGAAATATCTAATTTATAATAGATGAGAGATTACGTGGCTAAGCGCATGACTCTTGACTATTTGATCACATGTAAGATTAATTAACCTAATCTACTAATGTGAGGGCATATAGGGTTTGAAGAAATAAACTTTATTATATACAAGAGTTTGATCGTCACCTTTCTTCTAATAAAGGTAAAGAAAAATTCTATCGCCTTTTTATCATAAAGGTAAAGGAAAAAAAATCTACGCATAAACTTTTCCACGTCTTTTTTATGATGAACGATATATTTTTTATTATTAAAAAGGAAAATAAATTAAACAAAGATTTAGTTGGTGTATCTTTTCTCTTTCGGTGATATCCCAAAGGATCTATTTTGCCCATTGTTTTCATTTTCACCCACAACTCACATTCCATTGTATAAATTCATAGTTTTCGAAGAAAATTATTATTGTCATGTATCTGAATTCTCTGCTTTGACACTCCCAAATAGTACTTATACACTTCTTTCTTATTTACCTTTTTCTAACTTATTTGACCGATGCGATTTTGAATAACAACTCTGAATGAAAATGTGATTATTAAATTTTTAAAAATAAAGAAGAGTGTATATAATTTATATTTTGGATAGCCTAAAAGAACTCTCTTTACAATGACCAAAGAACAAAACTAAAACCCAACACTAGATTCCAACTCAACACCCCTTGGTTTGGTAAAGATTTTGTGGTTCAATTAACTTGGGGTAATTAAATCCTCTTTAGGAAAGCAGATTAATTAATTTCTCTATTTGGTAACAACATGATTAGGTTAGGAGGGGTTAATTAATTAGCAGAAAACAAGGGGTTAATTAGGGAAGGACATTTCCTCATTCTGTCACCTTACTTATCCACATTCCCACTGTACTCTCTCTCCATGGCATTTATGAATTCCATCACCAAGCAGCAGCCTTAAACTACGTGCATCAAACTTCGACCGTCCGATCAAATCCAACGGAACATACAAAGGCGTGCACAATACGCAGTGCACAGCTTCTCTTCCTCCTCCAAAAACAAACGAACGAACGAAACCGCAGAGAGCTTCTCTTCTCTCCGTCGAAACAAAACTTGAAGAAAAAGAAGAAGACCCTCTGTCCCATTTCATTTCAGCCCCCAAACTTGCTCGAATTTTTTTTAATAAAAAACCCACCACCATCGAAAACGACAATGCACGCGAAGTCGGATTCAGAGGTGACGAGCGTGGAGCAGTCGACGCCGCCGCGATCGCCGCGCAGGCCGATTTACTACGTGCAGAGCCCGTCGAACCACGACGTGGAGAAGATGTCGTACGGCTCGAGCCCGGCTGGGGCTCCGGCGCACCACTTCTACCACTGCTCGCCCATCCACCACTCGCGCGAGTCCTCCACGTCGCGCTTCTCCGCCTCGCTCAAGAACCCCCGCAGCCTCTCCGCCTGGCGGAAGCTGCAGCGCGGCGAGGAGGTCGAAGAATCCGACGACGACGACGACGAAAATGACACCGCTTTCGGGAAAGGAGGCCCCGGCCGCAGCGTCAGGTTGTACTTCTGCTTCGCGCTGCTGTTCGTTGTACTCTTCACGGCGTTCTCGCTGATCCTGTGGGGCGCCAGCAAGGCTTATGAGCCGCAGGTCATCGTCAAGGTAAAGGCTCTGTCTTTTTTTTTTTCTTGACTTGGTGCTCGACTGAGTTGACTGACGGCGTTATTATTATTATTTTTGAAGAGTATTGTGTTCGAGAATTTTGATATCCAGGCGGGGAGCGACAGGACGGGGGTGCCGACGGATATGCTGTCGTTGAATTCGACGGTCAGGATTCATTATAGAAATCCGGCGACATTCTTCGGCGTTCACGTCACGTCGACGCCGCTGGAGCTTCACTACTACCAGCTCAAAGTGGCGTCCGGACAGGTGCGTAATGACCATTCTGACATCGTTAAGTAAGAAGATGCATGTTTAGGCCATGGGTAATCTGGTAATTTTGAGTTGTATGGATAATATTGCTCCAACGTTAATGTGGGTTTGTTAGTTATAACATATGGTTTGGGTGTTGGTGGTGGGGACAAACGGCGGATGTTGGGAGGTGTGAGGGCAGATGGAAGTTTGAAAATTTTGATGGGTCCTCTTCATTGGCAAGTTTCTCTCCTTTATTGGGGGGCCTGAAAAAGCTCTTCTGCCGAGCCTGAAACCCAACCACAATACAAACATCTCTGTTGGGATGCTCAACTTTTTTATTTATTTAATATCGAAGCATTTTTTATTTTGTAAACAAAACGATAACACTATCTGCCTGCACCAATTTATTTCACATTTTCAGCCAAACCTGTAAACATGGTCAATGGCACATTCAGTTTTTCTGCAACATTTTGGTGCACATCATTATTTTTTAATTTTTTATTTATTTTTATAATAAATAATAGAGGATTAGGGGAGATTAGCTCCCATGATCATTTCAAATTCTTCTTTTGGGAGCTGCAGTTGAAATCAAACACAAGAATATAGTTAGGAGATTTAAAAGCTTGATGGGTCCCAATGGGGAGAATCCTGTTCCTATCTCTTTAATGGGTTAAAAAAAACCTGCAAAAGATGGGTAGCCGGGCCAGTCTTTTGATTCCAACTTTCTAAATTCTATCTTTATCTAAAAAATTAAGTCTTTTTGTAGTTCAGGATCTGTAAAACAGACCCCTGTAGTTTTATTTTATTTTGGTTTTTGGGAAGTAA